TCTTACCACCCTAGCAAAAACCTGCAGCCCCTATTGAAGTGACTCCCTTGCTTCGTAAAGCAGAAATTACTGGCTTGGCATCTTCAAACCCTTTATCCTGGAATGCAGAAAGTTCACATTAACATAGCTAATTGAATTGTTGAAAAAAAAATTCTTTCTTTCCAAACCTTTTGTCTTCTAATAGGATCAATATGCTTCTCATAACATTTAGTGATGAATCTATCCGCCTAAAGTTGATCTTTATTGATTTATTTATTTTTATTTACTTAACTTTTTTTTTAAATTTTATTTTAATCATGTCGAAAAATTTTGGTTTTAGTCCTATCTCAATTGGACAACCCTGAAAATTTTAAAAATTATACATGACGACAATTTGGAACCTTGTGATGTTGAAATAGAGAAAAACTATGTGCACTATCACTTCTTTAATCTTTGAAACTAGCATGCCAATTTCGATGACCGACTTTTAGATAAAGGGTAGTGAAACCAGAAACTAACCACGCCATGCGCCTTTCTCCATGATTCCCAGTCCATATTAGGGTTATTAAGATCAAAAGGTTCACCATAGAAGAAATTAGGAACCACTACTAGAAATCCCTCGGCTGCCACTTTGTCTGCAAGTTTCCTTCAAAATGATAAAATGCAAAATGTTACTTCAACTAAATTACAAGAGATAATGATGCAATTAGTGACAAAATAAGAGAAAATAAAAGGAGAGGAAAAGGGAAGGAAAGAGGGGACAAAATAACCAATCATTTCCCCTTGTTTGGTTGAGAAGAAAGTGGGACAGAAACTTAAAGAAAAAAATGTAGTTTATTGACTCTTAGCGTTATTTGTTGCACTTTAATCTAAATTTAAATTTTCCTCCAAAGTTGCTTGTGTAATGAAGATTTTTACTTATCAGAGAGAGAGAGAGGGGGGGGAAGGGAGAGTGAAGATAAAATATTTAAAAACTTTCCTTCATTTTTCTTCTATTTTCTCTCCAATTAAGTCAAGCAAACAAAAGAAAATAAAAACTTTTTGAATCTCTCCCTTATCTTCCCTTTTTTCTCTTCAACCAAACACACCATTGAGAATTAAAATAGATAATCGCTATGGTTCCTCAGAATGCTATCCAGGTTTTATAATATTATTATTTCAATTGGCCAAAATTGCAGCATTCCAGGACCAGATTTGAGAAAGCTGTTAGCAAACTAAATTCCTCATCTCCTTTTAATCCCTTAACAGTTCCCTAATGTTTCAAAATATAGACGAGACATCATAACCAGTTATACTACTAACCAATTTAAGTTCCAACTCAATTGCTCAGTTTCAGTCCATACATGCAAACTATTTCCAGAACCTTGACCTTTGATTTTTTCCCTCTAAGTCCAATGTCACAATTTAATCAAAAGATTTTTTTTTCCCCATATACTAGCTCTTAATCAAGAAATAAGAGACAAAATTTATCTATAATAAAATGAATTTACACAACTCCTATGTATGCATATTAGTTAATGTTGGACTATACATAACCAGGGATTGGTTAAAATGTATAAATAGTCTTTAACCTAAATATGGACCTAATTACATTCTTTCTCCAGGATCAGAACAAAGGCTTGCAATGCCATGCAAGCACCCTTATTGCATGCAGATACACTATTATGTACACTTCCTACATCAAAATCACATTACACTAGAATGCAATTCCACAGACTCCATGACTTGTCTATTTTGCACAGATTACTTATAAAAAATAAATAAACAAATAAAGGTGCATGATCATGAAAATGCCAAGCTATAAGTGGAGCTTCAACAAGTCGATTGAATGAATTGATGTCTTGAAGTCAAAAGGATTAAAAAAATAAAATATGAACACCAACAGATCCAACACCAAATCTCAAAACAAAAACTTTCTTAGGCAGTATCTGATGGTCTGTGGGTAAATATGCAAGTTAAAGAAAACACCAACTACAATATTTTACTAACAACAGATAATAGTAACAATTCAGCATACCTCATATTTGGAGCTTCATATCCTGCAAAACATTTTAAGAAAGCAAAACACCTAAAGCTTAGTTTGTGAAAGAACATTGAGAACTCAAAACATATATCATAATGCAAACTTTTAAATTTTCATTGAAATCATCTTCTGCATTCGCGATCTTCTGCATTCGCATGTAACTTCCTACTTGGAGATGCAAAGACCAGAACAAGGTCGATTCACAGAACAATATGCATATTGTTTGGAACCATTACCATTATGTGTCCTAATACCATGATTTAAAACCTTAGTGATTAATGATTTTAAAAACATGAAAACCTGAAGTTCATCATGCTCTTGTACTTCTAAGTTCTTACTAGACTAGAAAATAATGAGTTAAATGCTTCGAATTTAACATAATGCAATGAGAAGGAAAATTCATATTCCAACTCTGGCTTTTCACACATAACCAATAACAAGTTATACCTGGCATTTTATCTCTACCAGAACCTTCAAGGACTTCCAGGTAGTGAACAAATGAGGGAACAATTATATCGAGCTTTCCGTCACTGAGATATAAAATATGAATACAGCATAAAACATGTTGTCCACCACAAATATTAAAATCATTAGGCAAAAAATAAAGAATGTTCCCTACAAATCCTTGATATCAAAGAATAACAGTTACTAGATATTTTATTTCGTTTTTGAAGTTTCTAGACATTGAAGGTTTCTCTGCTGAATGCACTCATCTCGGAGGGTATTTGACTGTGAAGCTTGGGAAAACTGTGTTGTCTGTTAAAAGCAGTCCAGTGCAAGAGACTGCCGCCTTTGCAGGATTTGGGAAAGGGGTCAGATGCACCATGTGTGGAGAGGCTCTTTCTACATTTCAAACCCACAATTTTGTTTTGTCATTAAGCTACAGAAAAAATAATCTATTTATTTTTTTCTTGGGTTAAAGTTTAATTTTAAAAAATTGCTTTATATTAATTCCAATGGGTAACATCAAAGTTTGGCTTCCTTTCCTAGAGTGTTTTCACTGAGTTGCTTTTCTCCAAAACTCCAAGCCCAACACACATTCACTAATCCACCCATGGGTTTCAAAAATATCCAACCAAACAAAAATGCTGACTTCAAATTACAAACACATCTAACGCATGGTTTATGCTCATGTTATGAGCAGCACACTTAACTTTCCTAACGAATGTATCAAAAAAAATCTAGACCAAACACAACAGATCAACATATAATTAATTGCAAAACCCCCAAAATACTTTTATATATTATCTCTGAAACCGTGAGACCATCTGTAGTATGTGTTTCTAATCCATGATGAAATTACTCAGAGTTTCCCAAACAGTCTTGCTCATTACCCTCCTCTGCTAAAAAATTATAAGCACAAAAAATATAGACCAAGCACACTTGCCCAACAGATAAATTAATTGTAAACACCCAAATAGTCTCATACATTGTCACTCTGAGATCATGAGACCGTCTATAGTATAAGCTATCTAATCCCAAACTGTCTTGCAAATCAATTACCACCCCCTCTCAAAAGTAATGAAAACAAACAAATCTACAAAATCTTAAATTTCTTATCAAAGACTTTCATATGACCTCATCACGTGATAGTCACATCCATATTTGGGAGCTCAACATACCAGATGGACTCTCCATAAAACTGAGTTTGTACGTATTGGTACGAAAGCTGTGAAATGAACACCCTTGTCCTGGTAACTGAGGCACCCCAAGATTTCCCTTCTCCGCACTGTCCAAAAGAGTCCCATGTAAATCATACAATCATTGAACACCAACCACAACCAAAATAATTAAAAACAATGTCTGGCACAACATTTGGACCTCAATGAAAAAATTAGCTCCAAATCCAAACAAGTGATGAATCATGAATCTATTACAGTGTGAGACTCCAATACCAAACAAAATATGTCTAACAAACATATGCCAATTTCAACAAAAATTTAATCAATCTCCAAGCTAGGAATAAATATGGAGTTAATAAGGCCAATAGATGATACAGGAAGAGTTTTCTGTTACTGGAATCAACATATCACATATGGCATTAGAACCAGTTATAGTGTTTCTAATACCATCTTATGGATCCCAAAACAAACAGTATATGCATGTCAAATTATTAGTTTTCTTTGCACAACCGAAACATTTTCTGTTTTATATAATCAAATAAATTTTTTTAATTTCTATGGGAAATCAAAATACTCACGCAAACATATTATGTTTGAAATTCCAAACTTGAAGAAGCAAAACAAACCTTGTTGGATCCATTTTTGCAGTCAAGGATTTAAGGGAAAAAAGTAGACTGAACGTGAGCTTGTGGTCCTGCTAGGCATTAAGGGTGTGCAGTGGACGATTCCATTCTTCTTTCCACTTAATCAACAACAAATCTAAGAAATCAACAACAATTTTGACCCAGGAAATCATATATATATAATAGGAACAAATGAGAATGGTGATGAAAAAAAATCCACTACAAACCCTAAATCTTCAAACCCATAAAACTAAATTAATCAAACCCATTTAACAAATCAACAACAAATCAAACCATGGCAAGAAATCATATATATATATATATATCAGTAACAAATCAAAATAAAGACGAAAGGGACCTCGTCGGTCGCTGCCTTCCCTTGCCTCGATGTCGCCTCCCCTCGCCTAGCTGCCGGAGTCGTCTACCGAAGTCACATCGCCTTCATCTCTAGGTCGTTTCGTCTCTGCATCTCTCTCAAAGACGGGTTGGGTTAGGGTTATGCAACAAATGAGAGAGAGAAAAAGAGGCTGAAATTCAAAGGGAAAAAAAATACAAAACGATTGAGAGAGAGACAGAGAGAGATGAGCGCGACTGAGAAGAAGAAAAATGAGGGAAATTTTGGGGGGAATTTTGGAATAATTTTTTTTTCAAACGTGGCAAATGGGCAGGTCTGAACGAGTCAAAATAGATTTTGTATTAAAAATTTGTTTCAATTTTTGAAAATTATTTTTTTGAGTTTTTAATTAGTATTTTTTTATTTTTAGTGAATTTTTTTAATATTTTAATCAATTAAAAAAATATTTAAAATATTTAAAAAATCAACAACTAATCAAGCTATTTTTTAATTATATTTGGTTCTAATGCTCGGGTTTCTCAGCAAACAAACAGAGAAGAGAAAATTTTCAAAAAAAAAAGAAGAAACAATCTTGCATCAAAAACAAATATACAAACACAAGGATCTAAAAATAAAATAAGAGAGAAGCACAGATCGATTACAAATCAATCAGAAAGTCTATGTATGAAAATCAAATGATAGAGATTAAAAAGAAAAAAATCAAAAAGTATGTATAAAAATCAAACGATAGAGATATAGATATTATTATTATTTTTTATTTGGTAGAAGTAGGGGTAATATTTTAATGAAAAATATTTTCCACTAAAATAAAAGTTTATTTTCTGTGGTCAATGAAAAATATTTTTCTACGACCTATTTTTTTTTGTTAGTAAAAATCATGAACTATTTTTTTGTGGTAGAGGAAAGGTAGCGACATTAGTGGTGGAGGTGGTGGATAAGAGATGATGGTGGTGGTGGTGGTGATAGTGAAAAATATTAGTGGTGAAGTTGCAGTAGTGGTAGTGTAGATGGTGTGGAAGGGGTGAATGAGAGGTAATGGTAGTAGTAGCGGCAGTAGTGGAGTGGTGGCGATGGTAGTAGTAATGGTAGTTGTAGAGGTGAAGTGGCGACAGTGGAAGTAGTGGTGGTGGTGGAATGACGTTTGCAGTAGTGGTGAAGGTAGTAGAGAAGATGGGTGGTGAGAGAGAGATGAGTGAGAGAACGGAATAGAAGAGATAGAGAGAGAGAATCGAGCGAATGAAAAACAAAAACCAAGCGGGAATA